CTCGTGAAGCTAAAAATTATCCCCATGCCTGAAAAACTATTGAATGAACAATTTTTAAAAATTCAAGAACTGAAACTTTCAAAGCTGTTTCTGATGCTGAGAGAGAGAGAGACAGAGAGAGAGAGAGAGAGAGAGAGGAAAACATCCATCAGAGGAAGCAGAAGGCATCACCGGAGTCCTAATAATAGCTCAAAGAAAGTTACTCTGTGTCTACTGAAGTATCTTTTGTAGTTATGCCCCAATATTGCCAATGCCTATTTTATAACTAATTTCTCTTGCATACCAACATCTGTATTGTGATTTGGAGTTTAATCATGGAAACATAAATCACAAATATTATAATACTGTTTGCATTTGATGTTCATACTGTTTTTCTGAAGACTTATTTGTACCGCCTGTGTTGGTATAAAATAATAAAAAGCCAAATATAAAACATACACTCACACACACCCACACACACAAGCAGGGCAAACAGCTGAAAGGGTGCAGAGTGATAGACCTTTGCTCAGGTTTCTTTAATGTCTGTTGGGAAGGAGAGTCAGTGCTTGTTTGTACTTGGAAATGTCAATAGTCCATCTGGGCTGCAGTGCCACAAGGGCTCACTGAAGCTCCTTGTTTTCATAGCCGTTGCATAAGTCCTGGACAACTCTGCAGTTTCTTTGAAATTCTACTCTCATTCAGTACAAAGATGACCTAAAATTATACTCCTCCAATAAATACTACTCTGAAATGTTCTCAACCTGCCTTTTTCGGCATGTTGCACATCAAGGTTACAAGGTTTCTACAGGAAATCTTCAGTTTTCAAGGGAAGAGTTTCACTATTTGGGACATGACCCAAATATGGAAGGGATTTCTTTGCCACTTGAGAGAATAAAAACTATTCAGTTTTCCTTAGCCTACAACCAACAGACAATTAAGATGTTTTCTTAGATTTGCAGATCCTAGGTCCCCCATTTCTTTCTAATGGCCTCACTATCACATGAGCTAGCAGGAAGTGCTGTTCCAAAGCCATGACCTTGGGAAGACAGTCATCAGTAAGGTTTAGCTAAAAGAAACTGGTCTTAGAACAGCCCTCAGCACTGGGAATTTCAAACTATGCTAAATCTTTTATCTTGTTTGTTCATGAGTGTAACGATCAGGAATTCGGGGTTTTTACCCACGAAACTGGTGAAAACATAGGTCCATTGAATGTTATAGCCTGCAATTAGACCCAGGAGCTGAGGCATGGCCTAAATGTTCGAAAGCAGTAGCAGCAACAGCTAGGCAGGTAGAGGTTTCATTTGAGCTGGTTTTAAGCACATTACTTTATTGTCAAATCCCACACACTACGGAAAGTTTGTTAAATTCCTGTCAAACTTAACATTTCTTGGCAAGTAGCCTAACTAATATAAACAAGGGAAATTCTCCTTTCTCCTTCTAATGTCTATCTAAAGTGTTGTAAACTTACTTAACCCTGCTACTTTATTTCCTATACTTGAAGCCATGTGAGTTTAGGATCAGAAATAATGGCTGCTTATGTTGGTTTGTAAGAGGCTCTATTGCATAGTCATGGGTTACTTTTTGTTGATTGTTGATGGATTTTATGCCAAAAACTCAGAAGGACAATACCTGGTAGGGTCTACTGCTATAACCAAGGTGTGTCAGTAGAAAAGGAAGCTCTTCCCTTAATCAAGACAGCGCAACATTCAGAGCTGGCTGTCACTCAAGCCTGTCACTTACCTATTCAGTAGAAATTTATACAGATATTGTATATGCTTTTGGAGTAGAGTGTTTCTCACTGCTAGCAGGACCCCCATAAAGACTCTGTGAAGATTAATTTCTTTCTGCTATCCAGTTGGCTGTCACAAATAGTCATTATTAAGACTGAAGCCCCTACCTGTAAAACTGATCCTGAATAGAAAGAAAATTCCCTGGCAAATTTTTATGCTTAATCAGCTAGTGCTCAAATGGCTAGAAGAGGTAGTTTGAGTGTGCCCCACAGCATGGATGCAAGTTAGTTTTCCTAGATGACCTATTTAACAATCAGTCCAATGGAAAAACAAAATTGGCATCCAAAAGGAAGTAAATTCAGAGTTAAGTGTGGACTCACAGAGGGTGCAGATAACTACCTGGTCTTCCTTGGGTTGCTGAAGCTTCCACTGTTAAAAGTTCTTTATTTCACAACTCCTTACTGCAGAGACAAGATGATCCAAATTGCTGGGTTGACTGCTCTAAAATAACCAGGTGTTATGGTTTGTGTTTAGAAGTCCCCCCAAAGCCTCATGCAGATGAGGTGAGGCTTTCTTTTTCAGAGGTAGCTGCATGTGGAATGGGTGATGTTGGGGTTAAAAGCATGTGATTACTAAATTACTATATGCGAATGATTACTTTGGCACTGCCATAATCTGAGTAGAATAAGATAAAAGGGGCAGAAAGACACTGCTAAACTCTCCTGTTACTTTTGCTACCTTGTGCACATTATGTCATTTCTGCTGTGCTATGCCTGTTTGTCATCCCTGCCTTGGAGTTGGCCAATTATGGGTTGAAACTTCTATGAACTGTAAGCCAAATAAACCCTTTCCCTTTTAACTTTGGGTGTTGAGTATTTTGTCTCAGCAATGAGAGAAAAGTGACTAACACACATGGCTTATAATGAATATTTAGTTTTCCAAACAATCCTAGGACAGTGATGGTAAAACTTTTAAGGACCAAGTGTCCAAACTACAACGACAAACTCACTTATTTATTGCAAAGTGCTAACACTGAAATTAAACTTAAGTATTGAGGTTTTAGTTTGGAAAAAAACAACTGTTATTCATGCTCGGCTCCTGGGGCATCCTGGCTTGCATACCCACAGAGAGGGCTCTGCTTATCCACTGTGCCATAGGTTCACCACTACTGTCCTGTGTAAACAATAAAAACGTCAGGTAGTGTATTTCACCTGGCATTTTCAGCTGGTTTTAAGAAATTAATTTTTTTCACATTTTGATCATTTGTAGATGGACTTCACTCAGTTGTTACTCTCAGTGGGGTATCCATTTGTTCTTTTAACCATCTGATTTTTTTTTCTGGTTGTAAAGAAGCTTTCTCAATGGAGGAAAGTTTATGCCATGATGGCAGCTAAGAAGTTATTAGGAAATGTGTTTCTTTTATGGGACATTCCTGGAGAAATCTCTAGCAACAAAGAAACCCATTTTATTGGACACATTATCAAGCAGTTTAATAAGATGTTACCCACACAATGACATTACTACTGCTCCTATTGCCTCCAGGCTTTTGGAAAGGTTGAAAGGACAAATTGCATTTTTAAAAAGTGAACTTGTTACAGTTAATTGAATCAACTGTATTGCCTTCTCCAAAGGTATAACCATTAACTTTAATGGCAATCAGATCCATGCCCACTGGAAAACACAGACTGACCCTTTTTGAAATATTTCCAGCAAGGACCATAGGACCGTACTCCATTAACATTACACATGTCAGAGACCATAAGGTAAAGATAACTAGGGAAGTTCTTGCCCAGTAGCTGAAGGAAGGAAACTTAGATGTGGATGGTTTTCTCAAGATCATGGATCAAGACTTCCCTACCACTATGAAATCTTCCTCCTTTCCCCCATTTCCTGCTGTCTTAAAGCCTTCTCTTTCCTTACAGGAAAATCCACAGGACCATAATCTTTATGTGGATTTTTAAGCAAGGAATTATGCTATATGAAGAAAGCAAAGTAATTGTTGGGTTTGTGGGATGATGCCTCAAAATCAGGAGACAACTGGTTTGTATTATGGAGATATGCATACACACAAGGGATGGAACAGATAGCAATGGCATAATCTTCCTAATTCCTCAAAGGAACTTGTAAGCTTACAACAATCGGATCTTGAAACCCTGTGGTAATTCATTAGACAGTAACAGAAGATATGCAAGGGTATGTATGGTACTCTCTCACAATGACCTTGTGTTCTGTTACATATGACAAGCATATGCATAGAAAATATTTTAAAGGAAGAACAATAGCTGCTGACAGCAGTTATGAGTAGAGGTGAGGTAGAAAGTGACATTTACTTTATGCTTTATGCTTTCTGGGTTTGCAAATTTAAGATAAGCATATATTATTTTCATAATCAGATGGAAAAACAAATACTCAAAAAATGAGGGAAAAATCATTTAAAAAGGATTCTGAAAACCTCAAAGGGCTGTAGTAGATTTTAATTACATAACTAATAAGAATATGCTTTTGTAAATTGTGTGGTATTATTAAAATACAATGTAGTAAACTTTCCTAAGTCCACCATCTCTTCTCCTAACTTTGAATTAATAAGTCTGATACCCTCAGGTATGTTTAACTTTAGAAATTTATTTGAAACAGATTTCTGTACTTTAACATAATATCTCTGGTATTTTTAGGAAAAACTCATTTATTTATTTATTTATTTTTGACTTTTTGAGACAGGGTCTTACTATGTAGCCCAGGCTGTCCTTGAACTTGTAGTGATCCTCTTGCATTAGTCCCCCCCAAATGCTGGGGCTACAGGTATGCACCACCACGCCTGGCTAAAAACTCATTTATTATATTATTTTTATTTTTTGTTCTCATTGAGGTTGTTGGTACATTTTAGATATACAGTACAGTTACATTCATTATCGGGATCTTGTACCTTTACATGACAAGTCTTGGTTCTCATTTTTTCCCCTTGTCCCTGCCCTCCCTTCACCCTCTTCGCCCCTCCTCATTTACAAACACTTTGTTTCCATTTTTTCATTTTCTTATATTTTTTTCTTTTCCCTTATTACCTTTCCCTTATCCTTCCCACTTTCCCTACACCTTTAGCCCTTTTCTTCCTATTTCACATTAAAAACTCATTTATAATGACTAAATTATAACATTGATATTTTTGCAATAGGCTTTCATTAAGTTTCCTTAGAAACAGAAAAAGCATTCATCATACATCATTTTAAATTTAATTATTTTCTTAAAATTGCAAAATAATTTAGCATAAAATGTTAGTTTCAACAAAAATTTATGCAACATTATAAGGCAGCCGCAGAGTTCTTTACAGTAAAATCTAAGATAAAAATATTTTTTTACAGATTCAAAAGTGAAAAGCCTGAGTGTCTTACAAATATATTTTCCCAATCTGATGGATTTAAAGGCATTTCAAAAGTTGTTGAGTTAAACTAACCTTAGCATCAATAATTGTTTCTTCTGGATTAAACATAAAACTAATTAATCTGAAAATCCTACAAGTAGTATGATTAGTTGGATTTCTTCACAAAGATTCTTTTATAATTTGGGCTAATCTCTGGAAGGCCTAAAATAGAAAAAAAGATAAGAATTATTAATGAAATTAGAAGGCTATTTTAGAAAAGTTGTCAAAATTTTAAAAAGTCAGAGTTCATCTAAGGATAAGGCAATGAGATATCAAGTTTGATATTAATGAGGCAAAGGGCCATGGATAACTACTAAAACATGTAGATATAGTCATGTGAGATTTCGGAATGATTTTGGTTCTTATAACCCTCATGATCTGCAGGAAGCTGCAATATTGATTATGCTTAAAGCAGGCTGTAAGCAGTGCAGGCTGTAAATTCCTCAGTTGGCTGACTTTAAGAAGTGAGTCTGACTAAAGCTATGTGACTCACTGCAGTACCATGCAGGTCAATATGGCCTCCCCACTAACAGCCGCAACCAAGACCAGAGTAATAGACTATGAAGCTGTAGGGCTCATATGAGATTACATCTGCAGCTTAGGTTGGAATAAATCACACCCAAATTTCATTCCCACAATTAGTGTCTTCATAGGTAGAAGGACAATATTTTTCTAATTACAACCATATGTTTTTTCCATCTTGCTTCTAATTTGAAAATTAGTTGTCTCTTCTCTTTTCAAAGCATTGCCTGCATGAATTTTGATAGTAATTGCACATATCACACATCTGTACACATAATGTATCTTTACCCTAATTGATGAATAATAAATTTCAGTGGATGTGACTGACCAGGGTCTTTTGCTGGGGATCCAGCACTGGCCATCCCAGTGCTCTTAGTTCTGTTTCAGTGTAGTTTTTCCTTCAACCTTGCATCACATACTGAGCAGGTGGGAATTAGAGATTTTCTGCAGGGGTCTCTAGAAATTGGTGCCCAACATGGGGCAGCATAACTGGACACCCCTGCAGTTAGGTTCCAGTTTCCAGCCCAGTATATGATGCAGGCCGAAGGTGGGGGAGGCAGGGAGATGGAACTAAGAGAAAAAGCAGGGAGCCAGGGTGGCCAATGCCAATGAAACTGACAAAGATGCTGGCCAGTACCAGGCACTGATTTTTTTTTTCAGCTTTGAGTTTATTGGTACATTTTAGGTACACAGTACAGTTACACTCATTGTTGGGATCTTGTACCTCTACATGACAGGTCTTGGTTCTCATTTTTTCCCCTTTTCCCTGCCCTCCCTTCACCCCCTCCTCCCCTCCCCATCTACAAGCACTTTCTTTCCATCTTTTCTTTATCTCACATTTTTTTCTTTTCCTTTATTACCCTTTCCCTATCCATTCCACCTTCCCTACACCTTTAGCCCCTTTCTTCCCATTTCACAATGTCAGTAATCTTATTAGGATCTTATGTATTATTGCAGTTTATTCACACCAGAGAAACTATTTGGAATTTACACATGTGTGACTTATTTATTTCACTTAGGAGTATATCTTCCATATGTATCCATTTTCCTATGAATGAATCTATTTTCTCATTCTTTATGGCTGAGTAGTATTCCAACTTATAGAAAAATCACATCTTCTTTATCCAGTTTCCAACTGAGGGGCAAATGGGCTGTTTCCAAGTTTTAGCTATTACAAACTGTGCTGCTATAAACATGGGTGTGCATATGTCACTGTGATATGATTCTTTTAGTTCTTTTGGAAAGATACTCAGCAGAGGGATGGCTGGGTCAAATGAAACCTTCAGTCCCAGCTCTTTGAGGTATCTCCATATTGATTTCCACAGTGGTTGCACCAGTCTGCACTCCCACCAACAATGGAAAAGGGTTCCTTTTTCCCTTCCCTACAACCCCACCAACATTTATTATTGTTTGTTTTCTTGATAGGAGCCATTCTTTGTGGGGTGAGGTGGAATCTCAATGTTGTTTTCATCTGCATCTCTCGAATGACCAGTGATGTGGAACATTTTTTTCATATATTTACTTGCTGCTTTTACTTCTTTGTCTGATAAACATTTCAGATGCCCATTTTTGAATTGGATCTTTATATTTGGGGGGGCTGACTGTTTTGAGTTCTTTATATATTCTAGATAATAGTCCTTTGTCTGAGGAGCAGCTGGTAAAAATTTTTTCCCACATTGTAGGTTGTCTCTTAGTTCTGCTGATGGTTTATTTTGCAGTACAGAAGCTTTTTAATAGGATGAGATCCCAGTTGATTCTTTCTGCTAGTTCCTGTGCTACTGAGGATTTGTTCATAAAGTCTTTTTCTATGCCATTGTCTTCAAAAATTCTGCCTAACTTATCTTCCAGCAAGTTTCTGTTTTAATATTTAGATCTTTAATCTACTTGTATTTTAACTTAGTGCATGATGAAAGGTAAGCATCTAGTTTTAATCTTTGGCAGGTTGAGATCCAGCTTTTGCAACATCATTTATTAAAGAGGCCATCTTTCCTTCAGTGGGGATGGTCAGCTCCTTTGTCAAAGATAAGGTAGCTGAGTACATCTGGAGTTGTTTCTGTGTCTTCCAGTCTGTTCCACTGATCCTCAGGCCTGTTTCTTTGCCAGTACTATGCTATTTTTATCACAATGGCTTTGTAGTATAGTTTCAAATTGGGAATTGTTATACCCGCTGCCATGTGTCTGTTGTCTAGGAAGGCTTTTGCTATTCTAGGTCTCTTATGGTTCCAAATGAATTTTTGGATTCTTTTTTCTAGTTCTGTGAAATATAGTGTTGGAATTTCAATTGGCATTGCATTGAATCTGTATAGCAGTTTTGGTAATATGGCCATTTTCACTATGTTGATTCTTCCTACCCAGGAGCAGGGGATATCTTTCCATTTTTTTAATATCCTCTTCAATTTCTTTTTTCAGAGCACTATAGTTTTCAGTATAGAGACCTTTTGCTTCTTTCGTTAGATTGATTCCAAGATAGTTCATTTTTTTTGGATACTATTACAAAAGGAATTTTTTTTCCCTTATTTCTCTCGCAGTGAGTCTGTTATTTGTGTGTAAGAAGGCTATTGATTTTTGGGTGTTCACCTTGTATCCAGCCACTCCACTGAATCTGTCAATTAGGTCTAGAAGTCTTTTCGTGGAGTTTTTTGGGTCTTCAATGTAGAGTATCATATCATCAGCAAATAATGACAGTTTAACTTCTTCCTGTCCTATCTTTATTGTTTTAATTTCTTTCTCTTGTCTAATTACTGTGGCTAATGTTTCCAGAACTATATCAAAGAGAAGTGGTGATAATGGGCATCCTTGTCTTGTTCCTGATTTTAACGTAAAGGTTTTCAGTTTTTGGTCATTTAATATGATGTTGACTGTTGGTTTTTCATAGATTACCTTTATTAAGTTGAGGTATAGACCATCTATTCAAATTTTTCGCAGGGTTTTTGTCATGAATGGGAGTTGCATTTTATCAAATGCTTTTCCTGCATCTATTGAGAGGATCATATGGTTTTTGTCCTTGACTTTGTTAATATAATGTTACATTTATTGACTTACGTATAGTGAACCACGCTTGCATCCCTGGAATGAATCCTACTTGGTCAGGATATATGATCTTCTTGATAATCCTCTGTACTCTGTTTGCTAGTATCTTATTAAGGATTTTTGCATCTATATTCATTAAGGAGATTGGCCTGTAGTTCTCTTTTTTAGTTGCATCTTTCCCTGGTTTGGGAATCAAAGTGATACTTGCTTCCAGGAATGAATTTGGAAGTATAGCTTCCCTTTCAATTTCATTGAAAAGTTTGAAGAGTAATGGCAGTAGTTCTTCTCTAAATGTCTTGTAAAATTCAGCAGTGAATCCATCAGGGCCTGGGCTTTTCTTTGTTGGTAAATTTTAATTACATTTTCAGTTTCACTGATTGTAATTGGGGTGTTTAAAATGTTTTTATCTTCTTTGTTCAACTTTGGTAATTCATAAGTATCTAAAAATCTGTCCATTTCTTCTGTGTTTTCCATTTTATTGGAGTACAGGTTCTCAAACTAGGTATTAATGATCCTATGGATTACTTTTGGATCTGTTTTGACTTCACCTTTTTCATTCCTGATTGCATGGATCTGAGCCTTTTTCTTCCTTTTTTGATATGATTAGCTAAGGGTTTGTCAATTTTATTTATTCTTTCATAAAACCAGGTCTTTGTTTCATTTATTTTTTGTATTGTTTTCTTAGTTTCCATTGCATTGATTTCTGCTCTAATCTTTATAATTTCCTCTCTTGTTCGAGCTTTGGGTTTTTCTTGCTCTTGTTTTTCTAGGAGTCTAAGATTCATCATTAGGTTGTTTTCCTAGTGTGGGCATTCAATGTTATGAATTTTCCCCGTAGAACTGCTTTCATTGTGTCCCATAGATTCCTGTATGTTGTACTGGCATTTTCATTTATTTGTAAAAACTGTATAATTTCTTCTTTAATTCCCTCTATAATCCATTGATTGTTTAGGAGTTTGTTGTTCAGTTTCCATGTGCTTGTGAAGTTCCTACAGTTTCTTGTGCTATTGATCTCCAGCTTAATTGCACTATGATCTGATAATATACAGGGGATAACTTCAAGTCTTTTGCATTTATTTAGATCTGTTGTGTGAGCCAATATGTGGTCCATCTTGGAGAATGATCCATGTGCAGCCAAAAAGAATGTATATTCTGATTTTTTGGGGTGGAATACTCTGTAGACATCTATTAAGTCCATGTATTCCAAAGCTTGGTTCTTTTCTATTATTTCATTGTTGATTTTCTGCTTAGATGATCTGTCAATTTGTGATAGTGGGGTATTTAAATCCCCCACTAAAATTGTATTAGTGCTTATTTGGTTTTTCATGTTACTTAATATTTGTTTTATATAGTTGGGGAAATTTATATTTGGTGCATATATGTTTATGATTGTCATCTCTTCCTCTTGAATTTTTCCCTTTACAGGGATGTAGTGGCCTTCTTTGTCTCTCTTAATGAGTTTTGGTTTGAAATTTACTTTGTCTGAGAATAAGACTGCTATCCTTGCTTTTTTCTGGGCTCCTGACCCGTGGAGAACTGTTTTCCATCCTTTCACTTTCAGTCTATGGGCTTCTTTTTGCACTAGGTGTGTTTCTTGTATACAACATATTGTTGGATTTTGCTTCTTAATCCATTCTGCCAGTCTGTTTCTCTTGATTAGTGAATTGAGGCCATTAACATTGATGGTTATAACTGATATGTTCTCACTTATTATTGTCATGTTATGTCTTTTGTTGACTCTTTTTACTTTTTCTCCCCTCTCCTTTTAGTTTCTTGCCTTGCCTATTTGATTTGGGCCTCATGGTATTGTGACCTTCATTGTCCTTTTCTAGGATATTGTTTAGAATTCTTTGTAGTGCTGGTTTGGTGTTCATAAAGTTTCTCAGGTGTTCTTTGTCATGGAATTATCTTATTTCCCCGTCTGTTTTGAAAGAGTTTTTCAGGATACATCAGTCTAGGTTGGAGGTTGTTTTCTTTTAGGAGTTGAAATACCTCACTCCAGGCTCTCCTTGACCTAAGGGTTTGTGTTGAAAAGTCTGCTGTGATTCTAATGGGCTTTCCTTTGCATGCAATTTGGTTCTTTTCTCTTACTGCTTGTAGTATTTTGTTCTTCTGTTGGATTTCTGGGATCTTGATTATTATATGTTTAGGTGTAGATTTTTTTTGATTGTGGCTAGTTGGAGTTCTATATGCCTCACTTATCTGTATGTCTAATTCTTCCCTTCTGTTTGGGAAGTTTTCTGTCATTAATTCTGTGAAGAGCTTTTTTAAGTCATTTGTCTTTTCTCCTGCGATTTCATGGATTCCTATCAGTCTTATGTTATTTTTCCTTGCATCGTCTAGAAGTTGTTGAATAGATTTCTCATGAACCGTTACTGTTTTTGAGAGACTTCTTTTTTCACAGTCACTGACTGCGATCCTATCTTCTCTATCTGAAATTCTATCTTCGCAATCTTTTATTCTGTTGCGTACACTTTCAATAGAGTTTTTAATCTCCTGGATATCTGTTTATATCTGTTTTATGGATTCCATTTCTTTCCTCTGCTGGGCACTCATTGTTTCCATTTCTTTCTTATGCTGAGTCTTCATGGCTTCTATCATGGTCTTGAGCTCATCTATTTTTTTTTTTTGTCAGTTTCTGTTCTAGAGTCTTGAATCATGACTTCCATTTTGTTTATCATCTCTATGGTTAACTGGGAAATTATTTCTGATTTTAATTTTTCTACAGCCTGATCGACCTGTTTTGTTACCTCCTGTGCTATGGGTCCAGGTTGTCCTTCTGGTTCATTATTGGCCTTTTCATCCTCATTTGCTCTACTGTTTGCCATTGATGAACTGGAAGTCTGTCTTTGTGTCTTGCTTAAGTGTTTTTTCATTTTTATTTTTGTTGTTGGGTTGTCCTTGTTTTAATTTCTGGGTTATTACTTAAATCTTCCTGATATAGTTGTGTTTTAGCTTTCGAGTCTCTAATGACTCATAGACATCCTCATTTTCATAATATTGGAGAAAACAACTCATTAAATCAATCATAATCTTTAATCCCAATTAATACATTCAGCAGCCCAATAGGATCAAGCACAGCTTGCAAATTGACCACTTGTGGTAGTCATTAATCTATCACCTTTAAACCATGTGAATTAAATTAATATCAAGAAGTAGCCCAAAATATTTGCAGTGAATATGCTTTTCAACATAGCATCTTTACCATTTAGGATGGGGGGTTAGACGAGTTAGGACGAGAGGAGTAGATAAGTGAAAGAATTGGAGAAGGTTTGAAATGAAGCCAGAGGATGTAGAATGACCATACTGTCTTTATGAAACTATTAACTTTCAAGGGGATAGACAGAGTGCAGGAATAAGGACAAGAATATATCCCCTTAACAGTAACAGGGGCTCACCTTCCCTGGCAGCTATGGAGCCATGAGTGAGGTAAAATGACAGGAGAAAAGAACATAAAGAAAAAAAGAAAAAATAATAAAAGAAGACATCTGAGTTAGGGCAGGAGCAGGAATAAAAAGGGAGATGAGGGTTAACATGGTAGAGCAAGAGACTGAGTTGGAGAGCGAGGACAGAAAAAAGAAAGAAATTTTAGGGTGGAATGAGGAAAAGAAAAAAAAGAATTTGAAGGGCCTCTTTCAGATTATGTCTCTGTTGTCATATTATACCACGTGTACAGCCATGTGCAGAACCAGATGCCCTGATCTCAGCTAGCTAATGGTAGGTCCCCACGACTCAGACTGACCTCAGGCCACAAGGCCTAAACTGAGTTTCCCAACCCGTTGTCTTGCTTAAGTGTTTTTTCATTTTTATTTTTGTTGTTGGGTTGTCCTTGTTTTAATTTCTGGGTTATTACTTAAATCTTCCTGATATAGTTGTGTTTTAGCTTTCGAGTCTCTAATGACTCATAGACATCCTCATTTTCATAATATTGGAGAAAACAACTCATTAAATCAATCATAATCTTTAATCCCAATTAATACATTCAGCAGCCCAATAGGATCAAGCACAGCTTGCAAATTGACCACTTGTGGTAGTCATTAATCTATCACCTTTAAACCATGTGAATTAAATTAATATCAAGAAGTAGCCCAAAATATTTGCAGTGAATATGCTTTTCAACATAGCATCTTTACCATTTAGGATGGGGGGTTAGACGAGTTAGGACGAGAGGAGTAGATAAGTGAAAGAATTGGAGAAGGTTTGAAATGAAGCCAGAGGATGTAGAATGACCATACTGTCTTTATGAAACTATTAACTTTCAAGGGGATAGACAGAGTGCAGGAATAAGGACAAGAATATATCCCCTTAACAGTAACAGGGGCTCACCTTCCCTGGCAGCTATGGAGCCATGAGTGAGGTAAAATGACAGGAGAAAAGAACATAAAGAAAAAAAGAAAAAATAATAAAAGAAGACATCTGAGTTAGGGCAGGAGCAGGAATAAAAAGGGAGATGAGGGTTAACATGGTAGAGCAAGAGACTGAGTTGGAGAGCGAGGACAGAAAAAAGAAAGAAATTTTAGGGTGGAATGAGGAAAAGAAAAAAAAGAATTTGAAGGGCCTCTTTCAGATTATGTCTCTGTTGTCATATTATACCACGTGTACAGCCATGTGCAGAACCAGATGCCCTGATCTCAGCTAGCTAATGGTAGGTCCCCACGACTCAGACTGACCTCAGGCCACAAGGCCTAAACTGAGTTTCCCAACCCGCAGGGTTGAACTCCATTCAGTTCTATTACAGGTTTCCCCTGCCCTTTCTTTAAAGATGTTCAAAGTTGGGAGCTCAGAAAAATACCCTTCATGACCACCTATGCCTCTGCAGAGTGGGTCCAAGGACTGGCACAATCAGGAGGTTTGAGAAAGGGAGGGGGAGCAGGTCGTGGGGGTGTTTCAAAGGCACACGCGCAGCTACCTTCCTTACTGGTTCTGGTGGCATGCAGTCGGGGAGGTCACGGACCTGCCGGGTGGTCCCAAGCAGGTGGCTGGAAATACCTCCTCCGGGGTCCTTGCTTCCTTACTGGATCTGGTGGCGTGCAGTCTCAGGCACTGATTTTTATTGGCAATCAATTGCAGTAAAAACAAGCTATGTGCAAGGGATGTTTCTATGGAAATTAATGTAAATTAGACTTGTAAAAGCCAAGACAAAGCCTTCTTAAGTTAGGAATAGAATGGACAAACTGTATAGTTGTAATTAGAACATTGTCGTTCTAGTAAGAAGGTTTTAATTGTGGGAATGGAATTTGGATGCAAGTTACTCTGTTCTTGGTACATATGGTTCAGCTGGACTCACTTCTACAAGTGCAGTATGGGGTTAACTCTTTACAGCCTGCATTACTTATAGCCTGCTTTGAGGCATAGTCAATATTGCAGTCTCTTGAAATGATCATAATTTTCATGGTCATCATTTTGTATTTTGTCCACAGCACACATTATTTTATGTTTTAATGTAATATTCCACCTACAAATCCATTCTGTATAGTTCTGACTGTCTAACTCATTCATGTATGAAAGCAGGGAGAACTTATGAAAAGCATATTTAATGATACAAGAAAGCAAGCAAAGAAAGAACACACCAAAATGGAACTTTCCCCCAAATTCAAAATAAACTGTACGTGTTAATACTACTATTCAGTTTATAATTCTGCTTTTTTGATTTCCACATGCATAGTTCTTAGGTTCTTGTTCCTTTGCTGCTTATTATTTTGGTTAAAGCTTGACTGTACTTAAGAATATTATTGCTTTGGAGTGCAGCGGTTAAGCATACTTGCCAACTTGATTGGCTTGGGAGCTACCTGGAGGAATAATAAGGGACACTTCTGGGTGTGTGTAGGTGTCTAGGTCATGGAGGCTGAACATGGGGACTACAACTACTGTTCCCTGTCCCCTTCTCCTCTGGCGCTGTTCCCCTGATGTGCTTCCCACCCACCATGAAGTGAGCACCTTCTTCGTTTCTGCCTTGGAGTCAGTTGAATACATGCTAAATCTTCTGAAACTGAGCAAAAATGGAGCTTCCCTCCCCTAAGTTTTGCATGTCAGGTATTTGGTTCCAGGGACAAAAAGCTGACTAATATGTTGACTTTGCATATGCTTTTCTTCTTCAGAGAAAAATACTGAAGTCTACTGTAAATTCACAATTTTCATTCATGTTAATCCCATGAAGAAAGGAAAGAGGTTTTCTCTATAAAATGCTTATAATCTTCAATATTGTTCAGTAGGTTCTGAAAAGTTATTTACAAAAAAGCAAACTTTTACTAGCTTAGTTAGAGGACTACTAGACCTCCTCTACTAACAAAGTAAAGGGATGTTTGATGGGAGTTCACAGTGGTTCATAAGATCTGTTTTTTGGAAACCTGAAAAGATATTAAGTAATGTTTTAATTTAAAAGGTTAACACATGCACCAAAGCCCGGAATGGAGGGCTGGTATAACTCTGAAGAGAATCCTGTACTCACCACATCCATCTGTTTTGCAGAAACTGTGGAGAAGCAGGCTCTGAAGTAAGGGCTATTAGTTGAGCTGTCCCTGTAGAAAGCACTCCCAGGAACCAGTAAAACCTAAGAGAAGTTGTGAAAAATGAGTGATGTTGCCACTGGGGAACAACTAAAACATAGGTCAACCTAACCTTAGAGTGAGAGGGATGTTCTAAACTTAAAGGCAGTTTAAGAAATCACAAAAGAACAAACAAAACACATAAATATCACATGTCACCCAACAAAGACTAAATGGATAGAAGGAATGCTATTCCTTCTTTACTTTTGTTTTTTTATTCTTCTTTACTTTTGAAGAATGAACAGAATAAAAAAGAAAAATACTAAAATGTGCAAAGGACAGCTTACTAAGTGAACAAATAGGTATAAAACAATGATCTAATCTAACTAGAAAGCCCAATGGTATAGCATTTCAAATTAACAAATTAGATAGTGATTTGTAAGCTGGAATCTTTAAGATAAGTAGTTGTTGGCCTAGCAAAAAGCAGGGAGCAATATTTTAGGGGATGATATAAAGGCCATGAAATGGAAAGAAAATGGTACATTAAAAGAATGAAAGGTGGTAAAAAAATACGTGAAGTGAAGGAATAGAAATTAATGTTAACTAAGTGTGCGAAGATAGATGGAGAGAACAATTCCCCTTCATGGTGACTGCTATGTCTGAATCACTGAGTCTCTCTTTCTCCTGCTTCTCTCCTTCCCTCCTCCCGCTCCTCCCAATCTGTTTCTCTTTTCCTATGAGCTCATGTGTACTAAACACCTACTAATCACACACAGTCACTTACCTACACACACACAGCACTCCTACCTTCTTTTGGCTATGTGTGTCCACATGAACCAAAGTCATGGAAGCTACTTCTAGTTGGCCCATGAAAAGGTTTCCACGCATCTACCCTATTCTTTCCACTTTCTAGTGATTTTGGAATCTGTAACAACACCAGAGAGTAAGAAGGAAGAAACCAAGATCCATGAATTGTCTGTGGATTATAGTTTTAAATTTTGTGTGAGTCAGAAATTAACTCTAACTATGTTAAATCTTTGTGATTTTGGAACATATTGTTTAGAGAAATTAGTTTTAACTAGTACGATGATGATCTCTAAAAGCATGAATTAACTGCTTTGTTGTTACACGAAAAATCTGGGTACTATCTACTCAAACAAGATGAGTTGAGAGGACAATGATTTGAGGCACATGTTGGAAAAGATTTTATGTGTTTCTTTATGCTGACCAAGAAACATTTCTCTCAATGTAATATAAAACTTTTGGGATAAGATAGAAAAAATAACCTGTAATAGGAGAGAATGAATGGTAATACTGTCTTTGTAAGAGAACAAAATTCTGTGTTGAGGAAGTAGTGATAAACTTGGAGAGTCTTTGGAAAAGCTAAAGGAACATCCAAGAGGATTATGGAATAAACAAAGAGGATGAAAAAAACACAGTAGAATATCAGTCTGCATCCTTAGCTCTTAGCTCAGAAATACATACAAATAGCTACTTACCACCAGTTTTGATGAAAATGGTACTGATAGGAAAGCAAAGAAAATATGAAGTCCATCTATTACATTACAATAAATTTATTTGAAATAAGTCAGTATATAAGTGCCTACTATGTGCTGCTACTAGGATTAGAACAATGATAAAGGATAAGTCCTGTTGTAAAGTAGGATGGTCAGAGAAGATAATACCTTTTCCCTGTTGTCCGTCTCTAAATTTAACCTCTAGCCTAGTTTGTCTCTTATGCATCAGTGTGCTACCTTGCCATCCTCATCCCAATCTTATTTATTCTGCTTATTGATTCAAGACAACAGTGATTCTAGAAATAGTCTCAGTGTTTACAAAGGATGACTGGCAAATGTGGTAATGGAATTAATTAATGGAAGAGGCGAACATATTAGGTAAATTAGAAAGCTACACAGAAAATTTTCAGTTAGAATTTGAGCTCAGTCATTGCCCTTAACTGAAAGCTAAGTAGACTCATGACTTAAGTACAAAAGGAGAAACAGATGAACAGCGAAATCTAATTGAACTAATTTTAAGTGGAAAATCAGGGAATAATATTTACTATATAATATTAACTATGTAAAATAACTTCACAACCCAAAATACTGGAATATATAAAATCTCTTCAAAAAATACACAATAAATGGTAACAGGACCTACGGTGAAATGATAGATTATTTGAAAGTTTTCATCATGCTTTTATGCATTTTCCAAATTTCACTACATGACTATAGTTTAATCATTAGGAAAAAAATTTTCCATTTCAAATACTAATTGACCTACTACTTATAGACTCATACTCTGGAACATTTATTATGTGCCAGGTATTACTCCAAGTGCTTTACACATACAGTTCATTTAGCCATCACAGCAACCCCATGAGGGAGAGATTCTCACTCTTTGCTTTGTAGATGAAGCACCAAAAGGGCCACTTACCCAATGATGCGTGTTCAGCAGTGGGCAGAGCTGGACTCAAACCCATGGAGTGTGGCTCCATAGCAATCTCTTAGCCACTGTGCTAATCACTGGCTGAGGTGAATGACTGTGCCGCCATTCACTTAGACCAACTGAATAATTATGTAACCCTCACATTTATTACTATTTTAATAAGACATAGCATGCCTAATATTAGAACAGTATCAGTTGGCTACTGGGGAATACAAAACACCTTTTTCATTTTTAGTCAAGTAAAAACATTAAATACAAATGCAACTTTTTATTTAGGTGTCCCCTTCCACCCACCTCTTTCTTAAGGGCTTCTTCTTCAATCAGTTGTTGTGAATTAGAAATGCCTGTAATTTTAACCCATAAAAACATACCAGCAACAGGTACATGCCATTCTGCCAGACCTACACACAAAAGAGAATATGTGTCAACTATTTTTTTCTGTGACATAATGTGGTCATTATAAACTATTGCTTCCAAAAATTCCTTCAGTGATAAGATTTAAAAAAATATAGTTTTATGAGCCCTGAGAACAGATACTCTAGGATTATTTCAAGGAGTCAGTGTGTGGGTAAGAGGGAGGTAGGGAGGGACACTGAGTAGCTCCTTTGTGAACAGTTACAACTGCAGCCAGCCTTAGCGGAGAACTAGAAATACAGTGCCTCTCTCCAAATAATTAGAACCATAGCTAAGCCAAATGAGGCTGCTTCCATTTTAAAAGACAATTCTTCAATTCCTCCTAAAGTCTTCTGGTGTTTCAATTAATCTTATCATTTATGCGATAGTTTAGAAGTTCAATATATTAATTTTATCAGAATGTAGTTAATTATGAAAAGAAGTACTTAAAATTCAAGAATTCCATATGTATTTGTAAGCTGTATGTTCCATGAAGTATTAGGATATAAAAATAAAAAAGAAGGAATATTTATATTGATTTTAATTATTATTTTTAAAGAACTTCTTCTCTGTTACTATTTATTCATTATTATATGCCAGATGATGTAAAGGTATTCTTACCAAACTTGTAATAATTCAATTTTTACCAAGACTTTGTAGAGAATTAGATGTAACAGTTAAATAAGGAACTGAAAATTTTGGTTTATTATTGTTCATATAACAGGCATTTTAAATTATATAGTTAAAGCCATATAATTCTTCTGATTCTCTTTCATAACAAAAGTAATTGTAACACATCCTGAAATCAAATTAGCAATGCCTAATATTAGATAAATATGGTTAATGGCTAGAAGAGAAAGAATTTGTAATGCAAGATCTGCTTTAGACTGCACTACTTGTCCTCATACAGCTTACTTAGAAACAGATCATATTATTTGTTTGGGGAAAATTTTTGAAATAAATAAAAATTTTGAGTATGGCTATTATCTAGCTGTAAGTAAGCTATGGCTGTTTGGCTTTTAGTCTAATACTTTTTTGTTGAAGAATCACACATTTTTGCAACAGACAGTAGAGACAGGAAGAACTATGTTGTGTTTTTACTTGTGAGATTTGTTTTTAGAGAAACATCTCCCTGCCAAGAACACTCTAGGATGCAGCTTCTTTCCTACTAGGAATGTCAATAATATGCAATATTCATCACCCATTCTTACAGGTGTTCTTGTTTATCGTAAGGACACATGCACATTTTACTCACCACTTAACCACTTCTCCGCAGCTGCCAATATGGCGTCTCTCTGGTTCCTGTAGAAATCAGTAACTCTGGGAGAGGAGAACAATGACAAAGATATGCTCTGTACATGGACTGCAGAAACGAAAGTAGCTTTGAACTCCAAGTTATAGGAATTTGTTTTCTCTCCCGATTAAAATGTTGAATGTTTGAGAAGAAGCGAGAGTATTTGAGTTGACCATTTTCACAAGTGTCATGTTTGCTTTGTTGTGGATTCATTAAAAAATAAACATCAATAGTGCAAAAAAGTAATTTCTATGTAAAACATAGAACTTAGAAATAGGAGGATTGATCTTTGTTTGTCTCAAATAATGATTGCCATTTGCAAGGCAGGAGAATCCTTAGCAACAAAGACAGTACTATTGGCACGGTGAACCCCTGGTCTGGGAATGAGGGGACCCCTTCCTCCTTATTTCTACATGTCCTAGGAGGTACCACACTTACACAACCACAGCAGTTCATAACTTGCACCATTGTGTTGACTATTTAGGTAGATTATGTTCTTACTCATTAGGACAGGCGTCAATTCCTGTGTCATGTGTCCCTCACAGTAAGTTAATTACTAAAGAGAATGCTTTTGTGCACCCATCCTAATCTTGAGGGAACTTCAGGTTACCTTGGGGCTTCATTGACGTTGCTTTCAGGGCATTCCTTGGGTGCTCCTGGGAAGACTTTCTAGGTAATGAACAGGATTTGCCCTTTGATAGACTATTCCCATTGTCTAGCTTGGTATATTCAGGAAGGAAGATTAATAAACCAACACTCTGGTGCTGTGTGCTTCTTTTGTGGGGCTCCTATTTTGCTCATAAAAATGTTAAGAAATGATTCTATACCTGTCCACGTGAGCCAGGAAGCCTTCTTCTCCCCATTGCTGTAGAAGCTGTGATATCATGAGCTAAAAGAGAGACTAGGAACACTGTCACAGTTCATTCCTTAAAAGTGTCTGCGTTTGCCAAACGCAGAAGCAAATCATCCAGACTACTGCTATAAAAAGATAAAGTATGCTGAATCCAGCTGTTGGCAGTCAGTGATTTATAACAAATGTTGATAACCATGACAACAACAGTAGTAAGAAGATCAACTATTTCTATGGAACTCTTTATGTACCAGGCACTACAGAAACACATCAACATATTTTCACTCATCTTCCCAATGATCCAATTATTAGAAAAGTTAGTTTTATTTTATTGATAAGAAAATCAAAGCAGAAGTGTTAATTTTTCTGCTGGTTACAGAGCTCAGATTTGAAGTCAGACTGTTCAGCTCCACATCCAAGATATTTGTTACAAGACTATTCTGCCTCTCTAAATATAAAAGAATATATAGTATTCTCTCTCTGTCCCATCTCTCTGAGCAGTGCTGAGAATCAAAGCATTTCCTTGTCCTTGGTAACACTGAGCTATATCCTCAGCCTAAAATATAAATGGCAATATCTAAAGTTCTATATCATATTTGGAGATTGTCTATTTAAAATAGAAGCTCTAAATGGTGTAAATGGATAGCAAACTGTTGCTGATAATCGATATTTAAAAATATAGGAAAAGACTCTAATTTGATAAGGCATGGGGACAGCTACACTTTATGTATATACAATATCAAATACCTTATGTGACTATTTTTCTATTCATTTTTTTTCTTACGTAGTAGTTCTACCCTAAAGATCCAATTCTAACACTTACAATAATTTTGAAATCCAGTAATTTCTCACAGCACCTGAGAAAATTTATACATTCTTGGAGGTTAATTTTACTTTAATTCCCAGTTCCTCCCAAAATAAGACCTACCCAGAAACACAAGTTCCAGCATGGTTTCAGAAGAAGCATTCCCTGAAAATGAGGTCAATTGCATCCTTTTCAGGGGATGTCCCTTTTCAAATCATGCTGGAACCTGTTTTTTGGGTAGGTCTTATTTCAGGGAAACATGGATGCAAAGCAGTCCAACTACTGTGTGTGGGTTGGTGGTGCAATGAAGGTACACAGTGAGTCACTGAACACGTTCAGATTTCTTGGTCTCTTTATAAGGTCCAAGTCAAGGAAGTCAAAGTTAGTATTGCTTCACCAAACTTGAGTCCGTTTTGTTCAGTTCCATAGAATAATATTTTGGTGTTCTCATAGGGGCACAAGCTAAGTGCAATACCTTGATTCACAAGCAGTTTGGGTTGTGCTGTGAAAGAACACCAGATTAGCATAACTCATTTGTCTTTTAGAGTAAGCATCTATGGGATTTGGCCTGCTAATTCAGTCTGTATTGGAAATGGAGATTTAGCATTTATGAGTCTCCCTTCTTGTTGCCTTAACTTAATCTCACTTTCTGTCTTTGGCCATACCACCCTGAATGCGCTCAACCTTGTCTAATATTACTTGACAACATCTAATTCCTATACTGGTTTGATTTTTTAAAAAAACAGTACTTCAATTTGCACTTACCTGTGAGAAACTGCAGGGGTGCATTGATGATACTTGTGTGTGTAAAACAATTTTCTCTATCAATGGTTTTGGGCCCGTTACAAAACCCACTCTCAACCTACAGAAGAAGAGAAAAGTCTCTAAACCTATTCGCATTAACATATCACTGCATTGACTTCATTAGGAGGAACCTTTTCACCTGGGATAAATGGACCTAGAATATTAAAAATATTCTGATAAAATGAACTACTTATTTCAGGTACAACTGTAAATGTAGGTGCCCATTTATGAAATACATTAATGCAAGTCCAAGTTTTTCCAAATGTGTTCTTTCATAAGGATACCAATATTCTGAACTATCTCACTAAAACTTTAGTACCCAACCATCTTTGATAACTGGAGATTAATAAAGAGAAAGGATTATACTAATATTAATAATCACTATGCTGTTTAAAGGTGAAATTCAAGTTTTTTTTTAACCCAGCCCTTTGCATTGAGGTACATCCTCAGCTGTCTTTAAGCCTTTTATTTTAAAACAAGGTCTCACTAAGTGGCTAAGTTGCCCAGGCTGGGCTCAAACTTGCGATTCTCCTGCCTAAGCCTCTCAGAGTGCTGGGTTACAGGCATGCACCACCATGCTCAGCTTCAAGCTTCTTAAATGAGACATGCTTGGATTAAAATATACTGGGCTCAAATTAGAGACATGGACCTTACCCCGAGGAGAGGATTTTTGAAAAGGAATCAGCTCTGATGACACGCCCATCAACATCCATGGAGAGAAATGTCGGTGCCCAGGGCTTAAAATGGGAAGAAAAGTACTTTGGTGTGTGAACAATGTTAGCAGCTGTAGGGTAACACCGAATAGAGCAGGGGAGGCATGGCTTTGGAATATAATAGCCCGAGGATCTCTTCTCTTTGTCTACACCTCTTTCCATGTAGTAAACCTGACATGCATGTTCTGTACTAGTATCTGCCTGCCTTCATGGTTTCCTTGTCAAACACAAGGTCTTCTTTATATTCTCAAAACAAAACTATTGCATAGTTAGAAAAACCTCTTTACCTCAGGGGTTGAAATTTAGGAAAAAGTGACTTGGAGGAAGGACTCAAGCAAACCTACTTTGGACAGGATAAAAATGAAGAGGGCCAGTAGCATTCAATTTCTTAGAGACTGTTGATCAAGATGTACAGAATGATCAGTTAAACAGTACAGAGAAGCTAAGAATTTTTGTTTCTTCTTGGTGACGTAATTGGGTGACTGAATGCAATTGTATGTTCCCTGCAGCCCTGGGAGCAAATAAACTGTTAGATTTTGGTGCACCAGGCACTAGTAGTCTGTTCCACCTCTACTGTCCATTAGGATCTAGAAATCATGAAAGGCAGCAGAGGTATAGAGTGAGGATGAACCTAAAAGCCCATTATTTTTAGGAAAGATCCAGGCATAAGGGAAGGGGATGGTGAATCTGCATGCTGCCTGTAACACCTTCTTCTATGTCCATAAATGAACAGCATTAACTGAACACAGCTCTACTTCAGCTTGAACTCAACTTCTCAGTCCTCCTTAGACATCATCCTCATCAGCCACTATCTCAAGACTGAAGCTGACATCCAAGAAAAAACGTGCTTCAGCATCCCTAGGATGACACTGAGGGAGCTGTGAACTAGGGTTTGGAGTCCAAGACCATCAGCCTGATTTAATGTGCTTGTCTAAACTCATGGTTCTGGAGACTAGTGACTATTCTGAAGTTAAGTAATTTCTAGAAAGAGGAGTCACACCAAAAATGAAAAGTATGAATTTAATGGTAAAATCAGAAAACTAAAAAATTGATGTGGTACTAAATTAATAATAGTTCATTTAATTCAAAGCTTAAATATGGATAGCTCTGCCTCACCAGTCTGGCTTGTCCCAAATACAGTATAAAAACTTAAAATAACTTACCTTTTAATAGTAAATATGTTATCATAGTCACTTACCTTGTTGAACTGGAGAAAATAGTAAGGATCATCTTCTATTATGAGGAAATCATACTTTCTTGCAAGCTAAAATGTTAAAATAATATATTTCATAAGAGCTCTCCAAAACTGAAGTCACTCAGAGTCATAATTCTTTGTATTCATTCTTTCACGATTGAAAACTCTGTTGTTGTCCTTTATCCCAGACAGCGGGGATAAATTGAAGGAGGCACCAGGACTTCCATTCTCAGTCACCTTACGCTAGTGGGAAAGGCAGACTATGCATGCACCAGTGGATGCTAAACCAAAAAACACGACAGCGGGCGGGGGTAACTCCTAGTCAGAGCACTTTGTGAGATCACATTTGAGAAGAGTGGCAGAGTGTTTATTCACGTTGAGTCACTGAGAAGCCCTCCCTGGCAAGGTAGCTCTACAGCACAGAATGAGAGGAAGCAGCCGTGCACCAACAGGGGAAACGATTCTAGACTGAAGGAGTGAGAGTGGGATTCTGGGGGTGAGCAAGGGCCTCAGCACGTTGGAGGAACAGAAAGGCCGGTGGGGCTGCAGAGTGGGGACAGCTGGGATGATGACGGGGAGTCCTCGGGAGAGAAGGACTGTATCATGCAGCCCGCAGAGGCAGCTAATGGAGTCCGGACCTTCACAGCAAAGGGAAGAATTGTGAACAGGAGAAGCATGAGTCTGGACTTTTGCATTTGCCACGTAGCAGGTGCCAGGATGCAAGTTTCACACGAAGAACGCGTGGTTAGAGACCAAGAGTGGAGCACAGCAAGGCTGAGTGACCAAGCCACCCGTCTAGTAAGGGCAGGTGGTGACTGAGAAGATGGGGTTATGAACTGCAGTGAGGAAAAATGTTGGGACTTGGAAAAACCTGATGGTGGAGTAGGAAAAGAGAGCAGGGGAAGAAAGAAAGCAGGCTCTTCCTGGAGTTTACAAAGGGCATTTATAGAGGTGGTGCGCAGAGGGGTTGTGGATTCAAGATTTCGGGTGGTGCTGGGGAAACCAGGAGTTCTATTTGGGCCAGATTGAGTTTGAAATGCTGTAGACATCCATGTGAGGACGTCAAGCAGAAAGTCAGACACAAAAGTCTGGCGTTCAGGGGAGAGGAAGGGCTGGGCAGTGTGGGTTTCTTGTGTGCAGAATGGGATATTTCCATGGAATTGCATAGGCGGAGTCTGTAAACAGAGCAGAGAGCTGAGGAGAGCACACAGGAGAGTGCAAAAAATAGTAAAAAGATATTTTGGACTTCATTCTAAGTGAAAGGTACTGGCTGACAGCTGAAATCTTACTTAGGAATCCACTGCACGTGATTAAATGGAACACAGTTTAACATGAGTTTGTTACTTATTTTAAAAAGGTATTTGTAAGAAAGGCTAGCGAGCACAGTTTGGGTGTAGAAAAAAAGACTTTTCAAGAGGCATATTTCTCTTTTCAAAGATCCCGTATAGCCAGAGATTTAGCTCAGTAGTTCTGCCGCCTGCCTCATTAGCATAAGGACCCGAGTTTGATCTCTGGTGCCAAAAAAAAAAAAAAAAAAAAAAAACCAAAAACCAAAAAACAAAAAACAAACATCCTGTCTAACTCAATGCACATTTTCTACTTTGAGAAAATGTTTATAGTAAAAAGCTGGGCTTCACAGGTACCCAAAGAGATTTTAGAGATGAAGAGCTTGCCCCTTATTTTTCAACAATTCTTTAAAATATGAAATGAAAAGGAAAAAGGAGCAGAAGAGTCAAGTGAAAAAAATATAATGAAAATTAAATTGTGGTCAAATACTAATAATCTCACAAAGTTTGACATCATACCAAGAATGTGAATGTGAATATGCCACTGAAGGGAAAAGAAAAATATCTTAGAAATAAAAGCCCTGGTAATGTGCTATGCAGAGATTTATTAGGGCCCTTCTCATAGGAGAAGTCCTCTTACTAAAAATCATCTTCCTTGAAAGCAAGGGGGGAAGAAAGGAACTTGACAGCACTCTTGGAAAATGAAAGAAGTGAAGCAGGAGCACAGCTGACTGACACATTCTTTCCAGTACCTTGTAGATCTCTGTTTTACGGTCACCTGTCAATGAGTTTCCAGTGGGGTTTGTGCCATTTGGAACAGTATAGAGAAACTTGGGGGTGTTTTTGTTGGGGTCCTTGGAATCTTCTGGTTTCCATTTGGAAAGTATTTCTTTGAGGGCATCTGGGATAATCCCAAACTCATCACTGGGAACACTGATAATGTTGCAGCCCAGCGGGAGCAGCTGAGGACCAACAAAAAAGGAAAAAAAAAAAAAAAGTTTAGGAGCCAGACACAAATACAGGACATAAGTGCAATTTAAAGAAATACTAACTAGGAATGTACTATTTATCTCCTCAAACGTAAGCCTGCCCTGAGCTCCAAGCTCTAGAGGGTTCACACGGTCTATTGTTTCCCTGGGGTAGATTCTAGGAGAACAGTTATACATTTTTTTTTCTACTGTGATTGAACCAGAGTCCTGTGTACCGAGTCACATCTCCAAAACCTTTTTCCTTTTTGAATTTTTGACAGGATAGCTCAAAGCTGCCCAGCCAGGACTTGAGGTTGTAACGCTTCTGCCTCAGCCTCCGAGGGTGCTGGGATTTCAGGTGTGCACAGCAATGGTTGGCTGTGGGTTGTATTCTCCTGCTCCAGTCATGTCTGGTTTGGCCATGTGTCTCGCTCTGGCCAATCAATTAAGAGCAGAAGGGATATTTGTTCTTTCATGAAGTTTAAAATTCCAACTCGTGGTTTACTAAGTCTGTTTTTCCTTTGCTCTGTGATTGGCTGTGATCTGGGCAGAGGCTGTTTCTGCCGACTTGGGGCTTGGGATGAAGATGCCACAGAGCTGAGCAGGGGCCATGTTGTGGGGTAAAGTGTTACAGGGGTCAATTGCTGAGGTGTGACAGTCATTCATCAGAGAGACTCTTTTAACTGAATTATCCCAATAGCTTGAGTTAGATGTGGAGGTAATTCTGGGGATATGAAGCCATGGGGAATGTTTCACCTGCTAGGCAGTTGGGTGAGGCTGATGGTTAGAAAGTTCTTGTTGTGAATTGCAATCACTTCCCTGTAGATTCCATTCTATATGTCTACCAATCTAAGGACATGGAAATTGAATTTAAATTTTCCCTCACATGGCAACAAATAGATTTTAAAGAGAAATGTGTGAAGCAGAGGGTCCATTTAACACATACTGCATATATCGTTTTTGAGATTCTCTTGTCTACAGGTGAAAGCTGCTATTTATTTTTCAATGGACAGATAACTCTTAAGGTGCAGTGCCCTCCTATATTTGCTATAAGTGAGTTGCTATTTTGAAAAAATGTATACTTACAGCTTGAAGTATTCCTGAATAAATGGGCTCATTTAGGAGGATATTATCTCCGGGATTAATTATCATTTCAAATGCCTAACAAAAGAAGCATAAGTTAGCTTGCATAGTATTGTTTCATTTTCAGAACCCCATTACGTAGTTTGAGCTCACACGGCCCTACGATATGGGTTGGCAGATTTTTTGTATAGGGTCCAACAGTGTGTGTTTGCTATTATCCATCTTTGCTCTTAGAGTGGAAAGTAGTCACAGACAATATACAAGCTAATGGGAGTGGCAGAGCTCCAGTAAAACTTTATGCACAAACCTAGATGGGAATCTGAATGAGACTCTTAAGTACCAACCTCTATTCCAGGGAAAAGTAAAAAAGAACACAACTGATTTGTTTTCTAAAATTAATGTATACATCTTTTTGTTTCTTTGAGAATTTGTTAAATGTATACCACCTAGAATATATAAAGAACTCAAAAATGAGAACCAAGACCTGGCATGTAAAGGTACAAGATCCCAGTAATGAATGTACCCTTACTGTCTACCTAGAATGTACCAAGAAATTAAATTTAAAAAAAAAAGAACTCAAAAAGTCAGGCTCCCCAAATATAAAGACCTGATTTACAAATGGGCATCAGTAATGAACAGATACTTCAGACAAAGAAGTAGAAGCAGCAAATAAACATATGAAAAAATGTTCAACATCACAGGTCATTCAATAGATGCAGATGAAAACAACACTGAGGTTCCACCTCAACCCCGAAAGAATGGCTGCTAGCAAGAAATCAACCAATAACAAATGTTGTCAGGGCTGTTGGGAGAAGAAACCCTTCTCCATTGTTGGTGGGAGTGCAGACTGGTGCAACCACTGTGGAAATCAATATGGAGATACCTCAACAAACTAGGATTAAAAGTTCCATTTGACCTAGCTCTCCCTCTGCTGGTTATCTTTCCAAAATAATTAAAAGAATCATACCACAGTGTTATATGTACACTCAAGTTTATAGGGGCACAGTTTGTAACAGCTACAACTTGGAAACACTCCAGTTGCCCATCAACTGGAAACTGTAAAAAGAAGATGTGGTTTTTCTATAAAATGGAGTACTACTGAGCCACAAAGAATGAGAAACTAGTCATTCATAGGAAAATGGATGCATATTGAGGCCATACTCTTAAGTGAAATAAATAAGACACACATGTAAGTACTGAATAGCTTTTCTGTTGTGAAAAACTCAAAGTCTCAAAGTGTAAATGAGATCCAAATTGTATAACTAACATTGTGAAATAGGGAGAAAAGGTCTCAAGGTGTAGGGGAAGTGGGAAGGGTAGGGGAAAGGAAAAAAAGGAAAAGAAAAACTATGAGAAAATGAAAAATGAAAACAAAGTCTTTGTAAATGGGGGGGTGTGAAGGGAGGGCTGGGTTATGGGGTAAAAAAAATGAGAATGAAGACCTGTCATGTAAAGGTACAAGATCCTAGTAATAAATGTAATTGTACTGCATACCTAAAATGTACCAATAAACTCAATTTACAAAAAAGGTACAAGGTCCCAATGGTAAATGTAGCTGCACTTGTATACTTAAAAAGTACCAAAAAACTCAATGAAAAAACAAAACAAAACATGAAATAAAGGAAACTGACCAGAAGTGTAGTCTTTTAGGGCCAGTGATTTAGCTCAGTGATTTTTCTCCCTGCCTTGCAAGCACAAGGTCCCAAGTTTGATCCCCAGTACCAAAAAAAAAAAAAAAAAAAAAAAAATTGTAGTCTTTTATTCTGAGGTCTACTCAGTGGTGGTTACCTGTGTCGAGCTTCAAGAGGCCAGCAGAGAACAGATTCAAAAATGGGAGAAGGGTTGGGGAGGTGGTGAAGAGAGAGGGAGCAAAGAAATAAAGCCCCAGCAGTTATAAACAATAAACAGACATATACAGATGGTCTCTGACTTACAAAGATTCAACTTACATTTTTCCTACTTTACATTGCTGTGTAAGTTGTATGCATTTAATAGAAACCATACTTTGATTTTTGAATGCTGATCTTTTGCAAGGCTAGCAATACATGGTGTAATATTCTCACAGACTGCTAGGGAACACCAGCTTCAACTGGGCCATGGGATCATGAGAGTATACAACAGACACTTTGCAGTGTACTGTGTCAATAAGTTATTATTTTCAGTAGGTTAGGTATATTAAATGCATTTTGGACTTGCCATATTTTCAATTTAGGATGGGTTTATCAGGAAATAGTCCCATTATATATTGAGTAACATCTGTATATAGATCTATAGAATGTAGCAGACATCTCTGTCCAGTATTAGCTGACTCTGGTTAATTGCAACCCACTCTCAGAAATCTTGATCTCTCCAAGGAAGATAAGCAATACTTTCCTCCTTTACATTACTGTGTGCATATCAGCTAAGCTTTCCTGCCTGCATATCAGCTATCCCTGCCTGCATATCAGATATTTCTGCCTATATATCAGCCATTACCAGACGCCACTTCATGTCTTCAAAGCCTACCTTTCTTACCTTCCCACTCTTGTAGTCAATAAAATACTGGATGCCCTTGGTGCCCTTTGTCTTTGCTGCCAAGACACAGTACTCTCTAAGTCTTGTTTCTTGTCTTTATTTTTATTCTGCTTATAGTGTAGTGTCTCACAGGAGAATGTAGACCAACTGCAGAGCTGTATAGTAATGTCCCCATTCCTGCTCCTTGTATTTGGTGCTCCAGGTGGATATGATTTGAATCCATGGTTGGATTAGCCTGTGAGGTGGACTCAGGGTAAAATATAACACATAACCCTCCCAGGGAGATTTCTGGATGTGGATGAGGAACATCTATGGTAAGTGTTCATCCGGGGACAATTTTTCTGCCTTTTGCTGGGCTAAAAATATGGATCAATCTTTGTCATCACAGAGTATATCCTTGTCAAACTGCTTAAGATGCTGTTAAATTAAACTAGCCAGTCCAGAAAAGGCTGTAGTTAAATTGGACTCAAAGGAAAGTAAAATTCTCTTCTAGCCCAGGCCTCCAGAGCTGTGGGAGGCTAATCCCTGCCTATTTAAGTATCAACAACTTGTTTGGCAGGTTGAACTAACAAGAAATTCCATCAGGCCCTATTGTTTTCTACAGAAATATTTGAAATTAAAATATAAGGTTTTAAAACAATTAAAACATGTTTGTAAAAGGGGAGGGGAGGAGGGGGTGAAGGGAGGGCAGGGACAAGGGGAAAAAATGAGAACCAAGACCTGTCACGTAAAGGTGCAGGATCCTGATGATGAATGTAGCTGTACTGTATACCTACAATGTACCAATAAACTCAATGAGGAAAAAAAAATAAAACAATTAAAACAAAATATAACACTTAAGGTCAGAGCACAAAGACCAGTTGCTGTGTTACTGCCCAGTGCTTGCTTCAGACCGCTTGCTCCTTATGAAAATCAGCTGCCATATCCTGCCAGGTAGGGGAAACATTTAAAAAATATTTTCAAATTTTAAATTTTAGCTAATTGACAAATGTACCTTTCTTTTCCAATTTAAATTGAGGTTTAATAGGTGTATTTAAAACATTTCTCATATATTTCAAGTTCTTAAACTGTAACTATGAGAGTAATTTGCCCTTTTCTCTACTGTTTGTTGATATTAGATATGTTAACATCCATTCAAATTTAAAGTGTTATAGCCAAGCTTTTAAATGTAAGAAGCTACAAGGACTTCTATTATATCAGCTTAATGCTGTCTGCAAACTGTAGATATGTGGTCAAAGTTGAAAAATCTGCAATTGCTCTCTTCTAGACATAAAGAGGTTTGGGCTGGGGATTTAGCTCAGTGGTTCCGTGGCCCGCCTTGCAAGTGCAAGGACCCAAGTTCAATCCTGGTACCAGAAAAACCAAACCAAAACAAAACAAAAAAAGCGGTAGACATATAGAGGTTTTATAAAAAAAAATCAAATTTCAAATTCTAGCTAATTAATAAGTTCTTTTTGGTTTCAAAATTTTGCGTGTATTGCCACTGTTCTATTATCAACTTGTTTTAGAAGATTTATAGTTAGATGGACAAACATATTAACAAGGCTATAAGTACAAGAGATATTCTTTTGTTATAAAATGATTTTGTGTGTTTCTTCTTGTTAGAAGGATATAAAGATATATTATGATGAGACTAGAAAACGTATGTTGAAAATGTGTGCAAAAGTGATTAAAGAAAATACATATGTTTGCTTGTTGGTTTTCAGCATGTTACAGCAGATTTATAGTAAGTGAGAAAAATTAAAAAGGCCACCTTAAAAATTTCATTTACATGTACAGGTATAAAGCACTTTTATTCCTTTTGATTTTAATTACAAGAGATTTCTGTTGACTTACAAAAAGTCGTGGCTAGTCTTATTTACAATTATGAACTTAAAAATTATAAAAAGTATTATAATTCAATCTGGCCAAATATATTTCAGTGTGCTCTAGTTTTATAAATGAATTGTTTTATATATTTGTCCACTTGTACAGATATTTTGTTTGAGCTCAACCATTTTTTCCCTTTTTTGACCCTTTAAAAATATATAATTTTTTGAAAGAAAGATATTTGCTGATAATTTAAGTTGGCTTATAGATTAATGTTATTAAAGTTAAAGGCATGCCTCCCCCATAGGTTGCTAGCTAATCAAAATGATGTCAAATTAATTCTACAAATGTAATGCATATTGTTGTCTACATACAAGAACTCAAAAAATTTTTATTGGTTGAAAATAATGTATTAATTGCTACAATCTGGTTTTTATAAGTTATTAAAAATGTGTCAAAATAATCAAATGGAGACCTTTAGGTTTGGAGAAACTGCTATATGGGACTTCCTTTGGTGAATAAAGGAGAAGCTGCCGAAAAAGTGATTATTCTGGTCTTTGTTCACTGATGGGAGCCCCAATAATTTTCATAGGATTATGGGAGGTACAGCCCAATAAAATTATCTAAATATTTTATAAAAAATTTACATCAGTTATCATCAAAGGTTTAAATTCAAAACATGTTATTATTATATGCTTACATTGGTGATCTTCAAAAGATTAAATTTTTGTGGGAAAAACAACAAGGTTTATTGAAAAGGTGATTTTGGTATCAAGCTACGTTGAAGAACATAATGTTTCATATAATTGTGATACTTCTTATCGCTACCTTTCTGGTGTACAAAATGGATTCATCCCTTCTAACTCTACAAATCTGCCAACGTATTGTTTGTGGTAATAACCACCTTTTCTTTCTTTCTTTCTTTTTTTTTTTTTTTAGTACCGGGGATTGAACTCGGGTCCTTGCGCCTGCAAGGCACGCCACCGAACCAATGAGCTAAATCCCCAGCCCAATAACCACCTTTTGATTCAGGTATTTGCCTTTCTTTTATGCTCTAGCTATTTACGATAACAGTACATTTATAGGGAGATATATGTTCCATAGATAGCATCCTATCAAAAGATAACAGCTTAGGTAAGAGTTTTGTGTGTGTGTGTGTGTGCGTGTGCGTTTGGAGTGGAGCGAGTGGGTTTAATAATAATGGCTATTTTATACTAAGATACATATTTTAGTGTATTACAAAGATAATGTCATCTTATCATGCTGAAATATTATGTGTGGTTCTTGATTTAAAGTTTTCTTTTCTGTTAACATTCTACAGGAATTCATCTACTAGAACAACCATGATTGGCAAAGATAACAGTCCTTTAACTATATTTTATACTCCAAAATGCTTGATATCCAGGTAAAATTGTAATGTCAAAGTTCACTACTGTCATTACAATGCTAATGTTATTGATATTCTCTTCTGGGTTTTCAATATCTAAAGTTTAGAGACCAGAACTTAAAGGTAACTGGGATAAGAAGACAGCCAATATTTTGTCCCTGGACCTCCAAGGTCAAAAAAAGATCCAGAACATGAAGGAGACTTTTCTACAAGATCCTATATCTTTGGTAAGTTACCCAACTTGCTGAGCAGGGAGACTGCAGGACACCACAGCAGTAAGATTCAACAATACAATGTGCCAAAGGAATATCACCTGAACGGAAAAATCTCCCATACTTTTTCAGAAAGCAACATGGTCAAGCAAGGCCATGACACATCCTGACAGCTGACACTGACAGGAGCTCAGAGGCTTTATATATGGTTCCAAGAGAAGACGTAATTAACCCTGATAGATAGCAAGAGGTTAATTTTGTTTAATGTAATCTCATCATAACTTGGTCTTGAACATTCAGTATAAAAGTATAACTAAAGATATAGTCAATCAAGACCCTAGTAATAAAACTGGATTTGAAAAAGAGGCTCCAATTGCTGACCCTTTCTGGCAGTTTCCAGATACACTAGTGGCTGACCACTGTTATGGGTCATTAGATAAAGCCATGGTGAAATTTATATGAGCTCAACAAGAACCTTTAAAATTTTTAAGCTAAAATTATTTTTTAAAATTATTAAAACTTAATCTTTTCATAGATAAAATTAAAAGAAATTATGACAAAATATCAGACTTACAGATAATCTTCATTTAGTGGAAGGTCTATGAGTCAAGAAGTTACAGTTGTTATTTGAATCCTTTAAAACATTTTCTGAACATGGCTCTTTCCCAAAACTGCCTTTTTTATTTCAATGTTTATACTTTGACTATACAGGCTGTAATTTCTTTAAAAATTTTATTATTGCCTATAATAATACATAAAATATATAATATATAAAATATATAATATTACATGATAATAATATTGGAATTTGGCCACCAAACTCCAAGTGATCATACTGATAATATCAGCAATGAATGTGCTAGACCTGTTTTCACCAAACTTAACAGATTAACTTTATAAAGAGCTTATAATTGCTAAATTACATGATTTTTATTTAAGGCCCATTAAATTAGCTCCCTAGAGGGGACCTCCAACTGCAGTCTTTCCTGCACTGGCCTTTCTGAGCTCAAAGCAGTTAGATGAAACCTGTGCCCCTTGTCCCCTAATCCCAGTAGGGGACAACCCTTTAAAAGAAATGTATTATAGACAGCTAAACCAGTTAAACCCATGATAGATCCTTAAAACCCTTAGGGGCCAGCCATTGTGGGCATATTTGCTTTTCCTTAAAAACACACTAACATAAACAAAACGGGGGAGTACAGCTACCTCTACAAGCTCAACTTGATTTCGTTATCTTCTCTTGTTGCCTTCATTTAAAAACTTTTTAAATCCACTTATGGAAAGTAAATATACTCCATTAAAACTCAACTGATACTAAGGTAAATCTAGAGACATGTCTTAGACACAGATGTTCTCACAGGATGTCCGAACTAAAAGGTAAAATGGCTCAATACAATCAATAACATAGGGATCAGAGTATGCTTATGTTCCAACAGAGGACAAACTCAGACCTAACATAAACAAGAAAGGAGGAGATGTAGCAGACATCTCTGCCCAGTATTAGCAGACTCCAGTTAATTGCAACCTAGCCTCGGCAGCCTTTGATCTATCCAAGGAGACAAGCAGTACCTTCCCCCTTTACATCCCTGTTTGCATATCACCTACATCTGCCTGCATATTAACCATCACCAGATGCTTCCAGATGCTCCACACTGTGCCACTTGAGGTCTTCAAAGCATACCTTTCTTACCTTCCCATGCTTGTGGTCAATAAAATACTGGGTGCCCTTGGCACCCATTGTCTTTGCTGTGTAGAGCAGCTCTGATCAGCCCAAGACCCAGTTCTCTCTAAGTCTTGCTCCTTGTCTTTACTTTATTCAGCTTGTGTTGCAGTGTCTCACAGGAGACCATAGACCGACTGCAGAGGTCTATGGTAATGTTCCAACTCTCATTCCTTATAAGAGAAGTACAGCCAAGCAGTAGTAAGCAGGGAGATTCAATCAAGGTGCATGAGAAAGAATAAAGTTATTGTCTCAGGAGTATGAAAATATGCTCTTTAAAGAATGTAAAAATCATTCTAGTTTCATATCAACATAAAGTCAAGAAATGTTGACCTGTATCTTTGAGGTAGATGATTAAGCAGTGTTGACAAAGCTTTCTGTAGAATTTGAATGCTGTCATACCAGAAATCTGAGTTTAATGACTCAAAGCTCCAGGGAATTGAACACAGGTGTATATTTAAGAAAATTCAGTCTGTTAAATGCCACTAAAAGCAGATAATATTTTAAAGTCTTCATTTTCAAAATAAGGGAAATGCAAAGGAACTATGAATATCTTCACCTAAAGTATTTCAACCTGATGTCTGTGTATAGTTAAAGCTCGTCTTTTATATACCTTTCATGCTATGCTTTGTCTTTGAGTTTCCTGTTTATAATATTATACGAGAATAAGAAATACTATTAGTAATTTTGAAAACGCGATCCTCCAGTGGTTAGGTGGGTGATGACTGTATTTAGGAACATATTTGATTCTGCTCCTTGGCCACCTTTTCCTTTCAGTCTTACCTTACAGAGACCATCTTGGCTGCCCGATGTGATGCAGAGATCCATTTGTCCCTGGTTAGGTGGGTAATGGGTGTTGGGAGGATTGTGCAATTTTATTTGCAACTGTTTCAGCCAGGACACAAGTGCTGGAATTCTAAAGCCACGAGACATATGTTTAAATTTATAGTAATAATAATCATTGGAACAGAAGGCAGAAATTAAATGGTAGCTTTACGTATAACTATTATATATTCAATTTCAAACTGTCAAATACTTTTTGCCAATATCAGTTTTGCATTTATGAGATAAGGCAACAGACTCAGAGGTTAGTAAACTCAAATAAATTCAATCATCCAGAAATTCACACATCATTCATTTAATCAATGAATTGATATTTGAATCTATATCCTTCTTGTTCAAAGCCTGGAGTTCTTTCTTTTTCCTTACTTTCCTTAGGGAGCTTTCTATAGGCTTCTAGAAGTTCAGGCTCAAATGGCTCTTGTTATCATGGAAAGAAAGGCTTATTTATGTATTACATATAATTCATATATGTTACATTTTAAAGTGCTCTTGAACCTCATGACAAAAGTATTAAAAACATGTAATTTGTAGACTTCCAAAATTATCCCTTATAATTTGAAGATCAGCTAATAAAGTTTTAAGGCATGTTTCAGCTTCTTTATAAGAAATTAGACATCTAACCTCTGAAATGTATTTTCATAGTTTGCTTAAAAGGGAACATAATTACAGAATTATAAAATTACCCAGAGACTTAAAATTCCTCTTTTTTCCTCCTTTATTTTAAAATTTCTTCACATGCCGTCTTTTCAGTTTTCACACTTAGCTTAAATGGTACTTCTGGAAGATGCTCTGGCTTTCCTAGTTACTTAAATTTGAAAAGCATTCTCTGAGAATTGCTAAGTAGTTAGTATTCCTTTTCCTCTAAAGTAATGTTTGAAAACTTTCCTTCAACCTCCCAACCATCAAACACTTTTTTAAAAAAGACACAAGTCAAATGGTCAAACGGGACATGAAAATGAAGCAGTAAGATCACGTTATCTGTGAAAAACTCACCCGTAAGTTGCAGAATACTGAAGTGCTGTCTTCATGGTCTCTTCTCCAAATTGTATGGTGTTTCCACCTTCTAAAGTGATAACAGCACTCTTAAAGGGGAAGGTGCTTGGATTTGGATATCCAGGAGCCAAGGAGATGAGTGATTTTGGTGACTTGATCAGGACATCAGCTATGATTAACATGCAAAAGAACAAATACTTTTATTGAAGACTTAGAAACAGGCAGTTCAGTATGCACTACAGTCAACTACAAAGTTTGATAACTTCCGGTGACAGAATGTGCCATGGTGTGAATGTTGCTGCCTCCTCTTCATATTTTGGAACCTAATGCCCCATGTGACAGGAAGAGGAGATAGGTGTCTTTAAGAGGTGATTAGATTATAAGTGCTCCAACTGCATGAATGAAATAAGTGGGTTAAAAAAGAAGCCACAAGGAGTGCCCTTGCCCCTTCTACCAAGTGAGAACGTTATCCTCTTCCACAATGTGAAGACACTGCAGCAACGTGCCTTCTGTAAGGAATGGCTCTCACCCCAACACGGAATCGGCTGGAGCCTTGATGTAGGACTTTGCTCTGTCCTAAATTGCGACAAATAAATTCCTGTTGTTTCTGAATTACCAGTTTATGGCATTCTGACATAGCAGCCCAAATGGTCTAAGGTAGAACGCGAGTCTAAAGTATGGGATGACTTTTTCTGGCCCCCTCACTGGTGAAGGACCGAAGATTGAGAAGGCAGAGGGGCCGGGAATAAACACGGGGCCAAAGCAAGAGAAGATGCTCCTGCAGCTGCCCCCACTCGCCTGGGAGCTGCCTGGCTCAGCCTCCCCCTCCCATGTAGGAGCCCGCTCCCCGCCCCGCACACTTCTGCACACTGTGCCTCCCCACTGTCTCGCCGGGAAGAGCCTGGCTCCACAGCCTCCCTCCCAGGACCCGTCTCCCGGGAGGCGGGCTGAGCCTCTCTGGTCCTCCTGCTCCATGCTACTGGAACCGCTCTGTGGCTGCCTCTCCTTGCAGCCGTCCTTCTCTGAGAACAAGGGCTCCTCCTGCCTGGGCTCTGCCCCAGCCTGGCCCACAGTGGGCTGGCCCAGCTGGATGAATGGACGCCACCCAGCGGTGACCAAGGCTCCACCAGGGCAGGACAGGCGCTGGCTGCGTATCTCACCGAAGATTCGGATGGGAGAACATTTTCTGGCCGCGCTGGTCGCGTTAATGAACCGTGCGTAATTCATGTCTCCGAGAGTCAAGCGCCAAGCTCTTTCTTCAGTGGTTCAGGACTTGAAAAAAACAAAACAAAACAAAAACAAAAAAACAAAACTCCCAAACCAAGACAGCCTCCCAAGTCCTCAAGCCTAAGTGCAGCGCTAGAGGTCCCCGCACGGTGCCCAGGCTGCAGGCTGCGCACGGTCTTCTTGTCCTGTGCTTCCTGGCATCAGCAGGGGTAAAGTCCACGGCCTGTAGGGAGGTTGGTTCTTTTGCCTTGTGCGACTGCCCCTGTCCAGTCCAAAGGTCACAGACTGCACTTGCACCCTCTCCGCGGGCCAAAGCGTGAGAAACCTGCAACCCCCAGCCAGTGCCCGAGTCCACCAAAGCCCTCAGGACTCCCCGCTTTACGGAGGGAGTGCAGCGTCTGCAACTCCGCTCCCAGATGGCCGACAAGCTGGCCTTGGATCACACCCAGAACTACTGGAGGGGCCCGGACATTGTTCTGCTCGATCCTAGTCCTTGAGTACCATCTAGTGGTGGCTTTGGTCCACTGCCCCTGGCTCCGTTAGATGAGCTCAGCCAGACGCTGCACTTTTGGGCATTTGGCCCCCTCGGGCCACCCAGAAGCAGCATTTTACCCCCTCAAACCATTGCTGGGCTAAATTCTCAGTGTCACTAATAAAACGACCGGCACTCTTCTGACAAGTCACCATGGCACCCCACAAGAGTCCCTGGAACACGTCCTTCAAATTCTGAGCTAGACTGAGTGTGGAGTGTTAACTTTGTGAGAAATCACTCAGAACAGCTCGATTGTAGGGTCTCCTCTCCCCTTGAGCTTTCTATGCAGGCGTTAGCTTGGAGAGGAGTTGCACACGGTGGAATCAAGGAGATGACCAAAGTATGTGTTCACGAACCACCCGGTTTTTGTCATACTAAAAGAGAATATTCACAGCTGCTCCTCAGACAAAGGACTCTTATCTAGAATATATAAAGGACTCAAAACAATCAGCCCCCGCCAAATATAAAGACCCGATTCACAAATGGGCATCCAAAATGAACAGACATTTCTCAGACAAAGAAGCAAAAGCAGCAAGTAAATATATGAAAAAATGCTGCACATCACTGGTCATTGAGAGATGCAGATGAAAACAACACCGAGATTCCACCTCAACTCACAAAGAATGGCTGCTATCAAGAAATCAAACAATAACAAATGTTGGCAGGGTTGTGGGGAGAAAGGAACCCTTCTCCATTTTTGGTGGGAGTGCAGACTGGTGCAACCACTATGGAAATCAATATGGAGATACCTCAAAGAGCTGGGACTAGAGGCTCCATTTGACCCAGCCATCCCTCTACCGGGTATCTTTCCAAAAGAATTAAAAGAATCATATAACAGTGATATATGCTCATCTCTGGTCTGAAAAACTATAATAGTACATAGGATCCTAATGAGATAATTGACAATGTGAAATAGGAAGAAAAGGGCTAAAGGTGTAGGGAAAGTGTGAAGGGTAGGGGAAAGGTAATAAGGGCAAAGAAAAAAATAGGAGAAATTTAAAAAATGGAAATAAAGTGTTTGTAAATGGGGAGGGGAGGAGCGGGCGAAGGGAGGTCAGGGATAAGGGGAAAAAATGAGAACCAAGACCTGTCATGTAAAGGTACAAGATCCCAATAACAAATGTTACTGTACTGTATATGTAAAAACGTACCAATAAACTAAAAAAAAATTTAAAAATATTTCTAGGTTTCAGTATGTAGAGACATGTTCTTAGATGCTGTTAGTAAGTATGTGTGTGTGCGTGTGTGTGTGTGTGTGTGTGTGTGTATTGCTGGCAGTCTTTAGGAAAATAATCTGCAGCTATTTTATCATCATCATCATCATCATCATCATCATCATCATCATCATCATCATGACACTGGAACCTAGAGTATTTGTACTGAGCCTCATTTCTACCCCTTCTTATTTTTTCTTTTGAGATAGGGTTTTGCTAAGTCACTAAATTGCTCCATCTGGCCTCAAACTTGTGATTCTTCTATCTTAGCTTTCCAGAGTCCCAGGCTTATAGGCAGAAGTTACCACAGTCAGCTAATTTGCAGTTCTTGGCAAATTTTCACCATTAAACAGATGCTTAACAATAAATTATGAAAAAAAAAAGATAATAAGCTGGGTGATGGTTCAGGTCAGTAAGGAGACAAAGGGGCCAGTGAGGTGGATATTGGGATTCAGGGACACTGAAGGTTGTAATTAGCAAGTGAAAGGCAGGACACAGCCTGTGTAGTGGGAAAAGTATTATAGAGAATAAATGGGAAAGAGTATGCGAGTCATTTCGAGGCTGCCTAGTTGAAGATAAAACTGCTTGCCAGAGAGGCTGCCTTGGGATTTGTCAGGAGAAGCCACAGAGTTCTCCTGAAGAAGCAAGATGAATCATGAAGAGTTGCAGCTCAGTGCTTTCCCTTTTTAAAGACTGCCTGGTCTGGCTGCCCTAGGGTAGAGCTAGAGGGGCAGATCTTTTCTCCAAACATTTATTAGACCCTTACTCTGTGCTAGGAAGTGTAGTGAATTGAAAATGATAACTGAGACAAGTCACCGCTCTTGAAAAGCAAAAGGGTCAGGAATTTCATTCAATACAGTGGCACAGAGCTAAGATGCAGCTGCTGAGGAAAGCGCAGGGAGGTGGTAGTTATTTTCAGTGGAGAGAAGTACTCAGCCATCCTAGACAAGCTTCTTTTCCTCTTATCTTTCTCAGAATTTTGTTCATCAAAAAGAGTCTCCCATCCAAGAACTAACCAGGCTCGACCCTGCTTGCTACTGAGATCAAATGAGTTCGGAAGGGAAGGCAGGGCAATGGGGAAAAAATCAGATTCAAGATGGATTATATCAAGGTGCAAATTTCCACTGATGAATGTCATTATATTGTGTACCTTAAATGTACTGATAAAATTAATTTAAAAGAAAAGGGTCGCTCACAGGATAATCATCATCTTCTGTTGCTTTCTCTTCAAACTCAGAGGGGACTCATGGGAAGGCTTGCTCCTCCTTTGACAAACTTTTCACTGAACCTATTCTATAATGTGAGAGAGGGAAGGTTTTGAACATAGAGTTCAGAGAAATTTTGCTCAGTTTCTTAACTCGTATACTTTGTGGCTAAACTTTTGAGATAATTTTTGGGTGCTGAATGGAGATGGAAAGATGTGTGATTTTCCTGGAGAAGGGAGTGAGAAAGTGTATTTCAGAAGCCTGGGTGAGATGACCCCCAGTTGAGCAGCTGAATTATTCTGCTAGGGCTGCAGTGATAAAATACTACAGGTCGGCTTGCAGTGGAAACTTATTTCCCCACAGCTCTGAAGGCTATCGGTCCAAGATGAAGTTGCTGGCAGGCTTGCTTTCTCCTGAAGCTTGCAGATGGCTGTCTTCTGTGTGTTCACCAGGTGTTTTCCCTAGATACCTGCATTCCTGGTGTCTCTTTCTCTACTTTTCAGGACAACAGTTATATCAAATGCACCTCTCACATTTGTGACTTCAGTTAACCTTGATCATCTTAATGCCCTTACCTCCAGTGCTATCACATGGAGGCTTAGGGCTTACAAAAGTTGCTGATACCAAGTTCAAACTGTTTTTGTCAGGCTCAGATAAAATTAGAGCCAGGACGTTATGAAGGAGAATGCATATTGTCTGATATAAGTCCTCATTGTCTGATATAAGTACTGTCTCAGGGACTGTGTAAAACCCCACAAGAAGTTCTTTGTTTTGATTTCTCTAAACAAGTTTATATTTAACATGCTTAGGACTGCACCAAATTCAGATAAGATGCTCAGGACAGTACATACTTGTCTAGCAATACACTTCCACCCGTGAGCTGACACTCTCTTTTGCCTCGGGAGACCAAGCAAGCACTTATGGGAATTTATGCAGTGAAGCATTTATGGGAATTTCTCTTTTTGCAAATAAAAGCTTCCCTTACCCCCCTTTCTTCTCTGAGTGCTTGAGTGGTTTACTGCAGTGTAGTCTTGCACTGTATCCTTTAACGCTTTCTCGTAAAGTACCCAAAAAAGAGTGCCTTTGCATAACTGATATTTATTGTTCACATTTCTGGGAATTAGAAGCACACAATAAAGGTACAGCAGTTTTGGTTCTTTCTGAGAGCTGTGAGGAAGTATCTGTTTCATGCTGCTGTCTTAGGATTCAGTAGTTTGTTTGCAGTCTGGTGTTGGTTGGCCTGTAGTTGCATCTCTGATTTCCGGTTTCACTTTCATATGCTCTTCTCCTTGTGTACATGTTTCTGTCCCATTTCCGTTCCTATACGGACATTGATTATATTGGATGGGTCCTCACCTCTACTGAGTATATTATATGATTACCACAGCACAATTCAGTCTTCAAATAAGGTCACATTCTTTGGTCGTAGATATTAGATCTTCAGCTTATCTTTTTTGGAGAGACAGAATTTCAACCCACAATGCATGACTGTCGGCAGATGACCGCTCGCTGGGGTTTGGTAGGAGGTCTCAGTTCTTTCCGTGTGATTCTCTTCATAGATTTGCTTGAATGACTCCATGACATGGAATCGTTTTCTTTTTTTTTTCCCAGCTTTAATTGAGTTTATTGGTACATTTTAGGGATACAGTACCATGGAAACGTTTTCTTCATAGTGAGTGACCTAAGAAAGAGTAGAAACTCTCAATGTCTTGTATGACCCACCATCACATGTTACCATTTATGCCATCTTGTATTCATTAGAAATGAGTTGCTAGGTCAGAGCCACACTCAAAGAAATCAGGATCTACCTTTTGAAGGAAAAAAAAAAGTTAAAAGTGATCATTTTGCTGGATGGACTGGAAAAGAAGCATGAAGGTTCTATGCTTTCCACTTGACCCTTTATAAAGTTTCCATTTTTCTCGAGATATTTTCATTTATTGTGAATGTTTTCCTGGGTAATTATAATGCATAGTTGACTAAATATAGTACATGGCTAGCGTAACATAGTCATAATAGTTGCTTTCAAGTTATTCAAGCATCTGGATCCCTTGAGCTCATCTCTCTCTCTCTCTCTCTTTCTGCCTCTTGATATTAAGTCTCATTTTCCTGGTTCTTTATATGGTGAGTGATTTTGAACTTATCATGACATTGCAATTGTTATGATGTAGCGATATTAGTTCTGTTATATTCTTCCAGGAATTGGTTGAACTTTTAGTTTTAACTAGATTGGAATTAAAATGCAATTTCTGTCTCTTCCATGCAAGCTCAAGTCTCAGGTCAGCTTTCTCTTTAGCTGGCTAATTTGAGACTTTCCTGTGCCTGCTTGGATTAAAGATCAGCCAGAGAGTTGTACAATGTTTACACAAGGAATTTGGAGTATCTTCTCTCACCCTCTCTTCTTCTGGGAATTTCTTTCCCCACTTCCCTGTCAGGTTGTCCTTTCTTTCATTTTATCAGACCAGAGAGACTGCATTTTTCTCTTTGATATAG